TGGATTTGCTTTTTATTCTGATCTATACAATGGATACTATATCCACTGTATATAGTATAGAGAAAAAAATACTATATACAATGTCTACATACAGGGAAAATTTCTTTTAATTTAGTATGGAGAAAGGAGGTTCATAGAAATACATTCTGGTCCATTCATCTGTCGCTTTCATTAAGAGTCAGGATTAAAACACAAGCATAAAAATAAATAATTTCTGTGTTATGAGCAGCTAAGGGAGGACAAATAAAAGGAAATAATGGCATACGTTTCTCTAATAAGGAGAAGTTTTCAGGTAAGTATTCATCAATGGGCAAATGCCAGCCACACTTTTTTATTCAGTTTGAGCCACAAATATTAGAATTAATATCTGTGGCCACTGCTTTTTGAAATACATCATGGTACTCTAGCAATTATTTCCTATGTTGTAAATTATTCCCAGGACTAAATGACTTCACTGGCAAATTCTACCAAACATTTAAAGAAGAGTTAACACAAATCCTTCCCAACTCTTTCAAAAAAATCAAAAAGAGAGGACACTTCTAAACTCATTTTATAAGGCCAGCAATACCTTGATATCAAAGCCAGATAAGGATACTATAAGAAAACTATAGACTGATATCCCTAAGGAATACAAAAATTCTTTTTTTTTAAGATTTTATTTGTTTATTTGAGAGAGAGAGAGAGAGCAGATGAGTGGGGGAGGGGGGCATGACAGGCAGAGAGAGAGGGAGCCTGACTGAGCCACCCAGGCGCCCCAGGAATACAAAAGTTCTTAATAAAGTATTAGCAAAATATTCACATTGAATATGAATTCAACAATATATTAAAAGGATTATACACCAAGACCAAATGGGATTTATCCCTGGGACATCAGGGTGGTTCAACATACAGAAATCAACACATTAACAATAACACATTAACATACAGAAACCAACACATTAACAATAAAAAATAAAAATCATATGAACATCTCAATAGATGCAAAAAAAAATTTTTGACAAAATATAACAGCCTTTTGTGATAAAAAAAAAACTCCACAAGGACCATACCTCAACATAATAAAGGCCACAAACAATTAAGCTCACAACTAACATCATACTTAAAAGTGAAAATGGAAAGCTTCTGCTCTAATATCAGGAATAAGACAAGGCTGCCCACTCTCATCATTCCTACTCAACACAGTACTGGAAGTCCTAGTTAGCACAATTAGGCAAGACAAAAAAATAAAAGGCATCCAAATCAGAAATTAAGAAGTTGTCATTATTTGCAGATGATACGATCTTATACAGAAAAAGCCCTAGAAACTCAACCAAAATTCTCTTAAAACTAAAACAAATTCAGTAAAATTGCAGGATATAAAATCAACATACAGAAGTCAGTTGTGTTTCTATACACTAACAAGGAAACATCTGAAAAGAAAGACAACAATCCCATTCACAATAGCATCAAAAACAATAAAATACTTAGGAATACATTTAACCAAAGAAGTGAAAGATCTGTACACTGAAAACTACAAAACTTTAAAGAGAGAAATTGAAGAATACACGAACAAATGGAAAGATATCCCATGTTCATGGATTGGAAGATTAATATTGGTAAAATGTCTATATGACCCAAAGCCATCTACACATTCAATACAACAATCCCTATCAAAATTCCAATGGCATTCTTCACAGAAATAGAAAAAAAAACCTCTAAAATTTGTATGTAACCCCCAAAGACCCCAAATAGCCAAAACAATCATAAGAACAAAGCCAGAGGCAACACACTTCCTGATTTCAAACTATACTACAAACCTTTAGTAATTAAAACAATATAGTACTGACATAAATACACACATGGAAACCAATGGAACAGAACAGAGAATGCAGAAATAAACCCTTGTATTTATGGTCAACTAATATTTGACAAGAGAGCCAAAAATACTCGATGGGGAAAGAATAGTCTCTTCAACAAATAGTGTTGAGAAAATTGGATAACTACAAGCCGAAAAATAAAACTGGACCCCTATCTTACATCAGTCACAAAAATGAACTTGAACTGAATTTAAAAGACTTAAGTGTAAGACTTGATATCATAAAACTCCCAGAAGAAAAACATGGAAAGAAACTCCTTGACATTGGTCTTGGCAATGACATTTTGGATATGACATCAAAAGCACAAGCAACAAAAGCAAAAATCAAGTAAGTCTACATCAAAATAAAAAGCTTCTGCACAGCAAAAGAAATAACCAAAAAATGAAAAGGCAACCTTCTGAATGGGAAAAAATATTTGCAAAACATGTATCAGATAAGGGGGTTAATATCTAAAATATATAAAGAACCCCTACAACTCAACAACAACAACAACAAAATCCAATTAAAAAATGGGCAGAGGAACCAAACAGGTATTCTTCCAAAGGAGACATCTGAAATGGCCCACAGGTACAGAAGAAAACTCTCAACATTACTAATTATCAAGAAAATTCAAATCAAAACCACTATGAGTCATCATCTCACACCTGTTGGAATGGCTACCATCAAGAAGACAAGAGGAAAGTGTTGGCAAGAATGTGGAGAAAAGAGAACACTTGTTCACTGTTAGTGGGAATGTAAATTGGTTCAGCCACTACGGAAAACAGTATGGAGGTTCATCAAAAAATTAAAAATAAGGGCGCCTGGGTGGCTTAGTCGTTAAGCATCTGCCTTTGGCTCAGGTCATGATCCCAGCGTCCTGGGATCAAGCCCCGCATCAGGCTCCCTGCTCAGCAGGACGCCTGCTTCTCCCTCTCCTTCTCCCACTCCCCCTCTCTGTCAAATAAATAAATAAATGATCCTCAAAAAAAATTAAAATAGAACTATCAAATGATCCATCAATTCCACCGCTGGGTATATATCCAAAGGAAATGAAAACATGATATGGAAGAGATACATGCACTCCCATGCTCACTGCAGCATTATGCACAATAGCCAAAATATGAAAACAATGTAAGTGTCTATCAACAGAGAGATGAATAAAGAGGTGAAACATAACATACAGTGTCTATCAACACATGAATGAACATACATATATGTATATGTAATGGAATATTATTCAGTCATGAAAAAGAAAGAAATCCTGCCATCTTCAAAAACATGGATGGACCTTGAGGGCATTACACTAAGTGAGATAAGTCAGAGAACAACAAATACTATAGGATCTCTCTTATATGTAGAATCTAAAAAAATCAAAATTGTAACAACAAAGAATTAAATACCAGGGGCTCAGGAGAATTGGGAAGATGTTTAAGGGTACAAAGTTGCAATCAGTAGATAAGTAAGTCCTGGAAATCTAATATATAGCATAGAGCTAATATATAACAATACTATATTATAACTTTCAAAGGTGCTAAGAGACTAGATCTTAACTGTTCCCACCAGAAAAAAATAAAAGATAATTACATGACATGATGGAGGTATTAGCTAATGCTACCATGGTAATCAAACCAACACATATATACACCTTAACTTACATAATGTTATATGTCAACTGTATCTAAATAAAGTTATTGTCAGCTTTAAGCTGTAAACTAGAAATAGACTTCTGAATTAATGACTTTCAGAAAAAAAACTAAGGTATTTTATCACACATATACACACAAAATTTTCAAGTTCTGATAAATCAAAATGCCATTATTTCTTTTTCTCGGTATTTACTTTGGAACTTCCATGGTAACAACCCTATGACTCCTGAAACGTTGCCTTTTGAGAAGATAATGGTAACCTTAATGCAAAACACCTGAAAGTGGTTACATCTGTGAAAAGGGCTGTATTGTTGTAGACCTTAGAAAGGAATCATCATCTAGTGTTTTTATAATGGGAATCATAAAATTATCTGTAACTCAGTGGAAAAAACCCTGAAGGAATAAATTAACCACTTTTCACAGTTCTTTAAATGCTTTTAGAAAACTTCAAGAGATCAACAAGTTAAACACATGATCATAGCTACTGACCAAAGGGAAATTTATTTTCTATGATGCAACACTCTGGCCACAATACCACTTCATAATCAAGGAGACTGAAAGCCAGAAAGCCCTTAAACTCGGATCCGGACCTAGACTAACTTATAGGTCAGGGTCTCTCAGGCCTCAGTTTTCTCATTGTGAAATTAATGGAATTATTCATTCAATGTTGGTTGAATGCCTATTATGTGCCAAACACTGTGTTAGCAATAAAAGTTTGTTATTTGTTTTGAGCAAATAAAAACGGCCCTTGCCCTAGCAAAGCTCCTAATTTTGTGAAGAGACAAAGAAATGCAACATAGTAACTGCTATGAACAAACTGCTGTGTTTGAGCAAACTGAGAAAGCCTGCAGAGAGGAAAAATACAGTTCAGCTGAGGCTGGAACAATGACTATGAGTTGCTCAGATGGGGATCATGGGAATCCCCTAAAGAAAGAATAGACTGAGCAAAAACAAAAAGGAAAGAAGAGCAAGAGACAGATTTAATATAGATGATGCATGGGCTGCACATCAGGGAGATAAACTTAGAGCCTGATATGCCACACTAGGAAATCTAACCTTTAACTTTTAAGGAATAATAAGGTTCATTCTACACTATGACTCTGGAAACTGGCTGTAGGCCCGACCAGATGAATCCAATTTGTCCACCATTTCATCTAAAGTTGTTAGACTCTTTTAAAGCAAAAAGTTTTAAAGCAAAAAAGCCATCCAAGTTTTGATGCTGACAGAAAATCTAAAAGACTTCACATAACTGATAAATTTTAGGACTAGCAGATTTCTATTGTTATGATTTATAGTAGTAAAACATTCTAAAATATACAAAACAAATGATTTACTTCTATTCTGTATCAAAAATGAACTCTGTAAACCTATCGGTGTGAAAATTGTAAACAAGTATTAAATTTGCACACCCCACAAGATATTTTTTTTATTCTTCATTTAAATAAAGCTTCATTCTCTTCACTCTGAGTATCAAAATTAACTATAAAAGTACCTAAAGAGAATATAAAGTCCCATTTACCTGTGTTCTGCAGGTACAGGGGGCGGCCAAACAGCAGGATCTCTAAATGGTTCATCTTGACAAGACACAGGGAAATCTGGGGGCTTGTCAATTTTAAAACTTTCCAAAGTGCTGACAATACTTTTAACTTGTTCATATTCTTCCAATAATTCCTGCCGAACCTTAAAAGAAAATAACCTTTATGCTGGAAACTGTTTAAAGTTTATATGAATGGCAAGTAATAAATTGCTATAGAACACAAGTTTTCTCGGGGTGCCTGGGTGGTGCCGTCGGTTGAGTGTCCCACTCCTGGTTTCTGCTCAGGTCCTGATCTCAGGGTCATGAGCCTGAGCCCCATGTCAGGCTCTGTGTTCAGTAGGGAGTCAGCTTGAGATTCTCTCTTTCTCCCTCTCCCTCTGCCCCTCCTGCTTGTGCTCTCTCTCTCTCTAGAATAAGTCTTTCAAAGAAAAACAAAAAAGAATGCACGTTTTCTCAATGTCACTCCAAGTATGCAAAATGAATCATTAAAACATATTAAAAAACAAAGAACTATTTAAAGTAATATAGATAGGAGGGCAGAAACTGGATTGAAAAAATACATTACATACTTTGTTGTAAGGGAAGTAGTTATATATTTTTCCAAACGGAATTCTTATTTCTACTAATGAATGGGATGACCATTAATATAATTTAAAACAAGGAACTAAGTCAGGAACAAGTTAATCATTCCCAGAAATCTAAAATGTTATGCTAAATCCTTTTAATATACTTGTAAATAGCTTTCAGAAAATTATCAGCCAAAACTTTCACCAGCATTTCCTACTCCTAATATCACTAAGTATGAAATGCCTGTCATGAGCATCTGAAAACCTGAAGTGCTAGGATACTAAGCATTACCCATTTCCAATTTTTATTTAAATTCTCCTTCATCTAAAATCTGAATTCTTCTGGACTTGTTTAAATTCTTTCAAGTGTTGGATAAAGTTCATTATGTGTTCAAAGGCAAGATTTTTCCCATATTTAAGAAACTTCACTTGTGTTTTCAAACTTTGAGACCAAACTAATTTTCAAAGGCAAAGAGATAATAGATTGAAAATTACATTTATAAATTCATTTTAACAATTCTAATTTGTTTTTACCAGAAAGCACGCTTTACTATAAAGCAGAGAAAAGAAAAATCTAGGTAAAATTCAACTGCTAATATACGCAATTATATACTTGGAGAAATGAAATTACAGAACCTAATGGAAATAAACATAGTAGAAATATCTGAATAGAAATGGTCACTATTTAACACAATTAAGAAATTGTCAAAAATATTTCCAAGCTAATAAACCACTCTTGCCTATGGTTAGTATGCAGAATAGAAAAAACACAACTAAAAATTCAACTTGGGTTAAAGGAAGTATATTGTTCTCACTCAACATATTTGGTAATGCTTAAGTCGGAAAACAAGCCAAATTTACCCTGAAAACGTAGTGAAACATCAATTTCTGACATGGAAAAATTAAAAGAAACACTTGAAAGGCATTAGTACATTAAATGGAAACTTCAAAGAAATGCTTGACTTTGTACTTTTAATTTTAAAAGGATTTTAAGTTTTAAGAATAAGTGAGGAAATTCTAATTCAAGTTTTTATTAACTGTACTATTATATAATCAAGTTGTACAATCAAAAGACAGCAAATATATTAGTTTTATTAGATTACTGACTCCTTTGAATTTGTAGGGAATCTTTCAAAAGAAGAGGAAACTTTCTTAAAGGAAAAGTTTTATGAAATGGTCAAAACTACATGTAAAAATGAAAGGGGAGGGTGCCTGGGTGGCTCAGTTGGTTAAGCAACTGCCTTCGGCTCAGGTCATGATCCTGGAGTCCCGGGATCGAGTCCCACATCGGGCTCCCTGCTCGGCAGGGAGTCTGCTTCTCCCTCTGACCCTCCCCCCTCTCATGTGCTCTCTCTCTCATTCTTTCTCTCAAATAAATAAATAAAATCTTAAAAAAAAAAAAAATGAAAGGGGAAAGGGCAAGTAGAAATACCTTATATCAAAAATTTGTGATCACACACAACTAGGTGACTGATCATGAAAATTTAAAAAATTGAAAGTATATTCAATTGGAATTAAATATCTTCAAAATATGTCTCATGAAAGCTATGAAAAATATATAAAATATTAACTGGGCAAGACAAAATTATTCAGAGTACATTTTAAATATATTTCAGTATTTGGACAAATAAGAACTATTTACAAAACCTCCAACTAATTTTCCAACTCTGGTCTTTCAAATATAATAAACGACTGCCCTCACTCACTGAATACTTGAATCTGCCTTACCTGTTGCCATTTGCCTTTGACAGCCGGGTCTCTGACTGACTGGCAATGTCTCTGAATCTGCTGTATCACCCCCTGGTAATATACCATTGATGAGTCATAGTTTCCAAGAAGTGCATATTCTCTTCCTTTCTTTGCATTGTCACAAATCTCAGCCAAATTCATCTTCCTTCAGAGACCTACACAGAATACATAATGTCTTCTTATTAAGTTTTCGGCACCAACTTTAGAACATTTTCTCTTTTCTCTAAAATATCTGCTTAAAACTACTTTCAAAGTCAAAATGGTTCTCTTTTTCTTTGAGGTTATCTGAATGCATCTTATAATACTGAACAAAGTTTCTAATTTTGGAAGTACAAAGGACATCAAAAAAGAACACCTAAGGAGATAACACAGAGAAATTACATAGGTCTGAACTATGGCTTATGTTAAAGGTACATAAATTGGACACTAATTTTCCTTGCTCATTTATAATTACCATAAGCTGTAATAACAATAAAGATGAACTTGACTGTACTCAATTTATTCTTGACAATGTAGAAATAAGTATATGAATATCACATATTTTTCCACTGAAAAAACTACAGAAATTAGATTTAAAACATTCTGGGACGCCTGGGTGGCTCAGTTGGTTAAGCGACTGCCTTCGGCTCAGGTCATGATCCCGGAGTCCCGGGATCAAGTCCCACATCCGGCTCCCTGCTCAGTGGGGAGTCTGCTTCTCCCTCTGACCCTACCCCCTCTTGGGCTCTCTCTCTCTCACTCTCTCTCTATCTCAAATAAATAAATAAAAATCTTAAAAAAAAAAAAGAAAAAAACATTTTGGCCCCCAAAACCAGAAGTCATACTTAAGGAATACACTTTAAAGGAACAGCCTACAGTTGTCCATGCATCATTTATACATATTTAATTGTCCCATACAACTTAAATCTAAGCAAAACCCCGTGAATTAAACTACCTGAGCCCTTTTTGCTCCTCAACTTGTAATCTTCTATTATTTTGTCATTCTATAGTTTTCTGTCTGTGCAAATAACTATCATTGATCTTTCCCCTTCTACAGATGCTAGGAAGAAGAGTTATCATCTGAACCTCTGGTTTCCACCAAAGCCGTCCAACCCAGTAATTCTGGTTTTTCTTCCTGGGTTCCCAAACTCATCCGAGAATCACCCAAGGCTTCTATGCAAAGATATTTTCCGTCCAAGACTACAAAGAGTAGGAAGTTCAGAGATACAGTAGAATAACATCCAGGAAGAGTCCAAATTGCCCTACTCTTATTTCCCAGAATAAACTAATGAATCCACTTAGTAGAGAAAATCAAAATACTTCTCCATGCCAAATCCAGTCAAGAAATGGGCAGAAGACATGAACAGACATTTCTCCAAAGAAGACATCCAAATGGCCAACAGACACATGAAAAAATGCTCAACATCACCCAGCATCAGGGAAATACAAATCAAAACCACAATGAGATACCACCTCACACCAGTCAGAATGGCTAAAATTAACAAGTCAAGAAACAACAAATGTTAGCAAGGATGCAAAGATAGGGGAACCCTCTTACACTATTCGTGGGAATGCTAGCTGGTGTAGCCACTCTGGAAAACAGTATGGAGGTTCCTCAAAAAGTTAAAAATAGAGCTACCCTATGACCCAGCAATTGCACTACTAGATATATACCCCAAAGATACAAATGTAGTGATCCGAAGGGGCACCTGCACCCCAATGTTTATAGCAGCAATGTCCACAATAGCCAAACTATGGAAGGGGCCCAGATGTCCATCGACAGATGAATGGATAAAGATGATGTGGTATATATACACAATGGAATATTACTCAGCCATCAAAAAAAAAAATGGAATCTTGCCATTTGCAATGACATGGATGGAACTAGAGGGTATTATGCTAAGCAATGTAAGTCAATCAATTGTCTTACAATTATATGAGTTCACTCCTATGTGGAATTTAAGAAACAAAACAGAGGAGCATAGAGGAAGAGAGGGAAAAATAAAACAAGATGAAATCAGAAAGGAAGACAAACCATAAGAGGAACATGATGTAAGGAGCACTGGGTGTTATATACAACTGATGAATTACTGAACTCTACCTCTGAAACTATACACTATGTTAATTAACTGAATTGAATTTAAATTAAAAAAATATTTCTCCATGCCTTTCTGAGGGAATCAAATTTTGGTGTTGCTTGGCCCTTTCTCTCTACCTCTTCTCTATTCTTAAAGGGTTCAAAAACTCTTCCTCAAAATTAAGCACATCTAGTTCTAGGCATTTCAAGAACTCCAGTACATTCTTGAAAATAAAGCTGTTTCCTTTATGTGTCTTGACATATTATTTGTCCCTTCGCCCAGCATAAGTTCCTTGAAGGCAGCATCTATTTTTTTGAGAATCACACCACAGCAAAGAGTACACTACTTTTGCAGTTAGAAACTTCAGTGTTCAGTAGGTTCACCCACATGGAAACCATGGAAAACCTCTTGTTCAAATCAGAACAGTAACACCAAGCAATAAAGTCTTATTACAGTAAATGAGCTGTAATTAATAAATCCAGTAGAAACAAAGCTGTTCCACATATTATTTTCTTTTAAAGTCACTGTGACACAAAAGCATTAATTCTCCTAATATGTGCAGATACACAACTATGCAGGATAAAAATACCTTGATGTAAAGCAGGGGTCAGCAAACTTTTTTTTAAAAGATTTTATTTGACAGAGAGAGAGAGAGAGAGCACAAGCTGGGGGAGCAGCAGGCAGAGGGAGAGGAAGAAGCAGGCTCAGGAAGCCTGATGCAGGACTTGATCCCTGGACCCTGGGATCATCCTGATCCAAAGGCAGACACTTAACTGACGGAGCCACGCAGGAGCCCCAGCAAACTCTTTCTAGAAAGGGTCAGACAGTAAATATTTTAGGCTTTAAGGGCCAACAGGCAAAATTGAGGATATTATATAAATAAATAATGAGACAAAAATTTTCCTAATATTTATTGATAAAATTCAAAACATTATAGTAATAACCGTTGAGTACAAATTTTTGTAAAACCCATCTCCTGGTAAGAATGAAGCTCTTTGGAGCGGGGGAGGAGAATAATATTTCACTTAGTTGAGATTCAAAATTTGTGTTCCCTATCATCAAAATCAATTGCAGGGGTGCCTGGGTGGCTCAGTCAATTAAGCAACTGCCTTCGGCTCAGGTCATGATCCCAGAGCTCCCTGCTCAAGTGGGAAGTCTGCTTCTCCCTCTCCCTCTGCCCATCGACCCATTCATGTGTTCTCACTCTATCTCATAAACAAAATCTTTTTTAAAAAATCAGTTGCAAACATTCATATGGTAATGCTGCTTTTTAGTAAGATTTTATGTATTTCACGTTTGAAATGTCTTTTTACCCAGAACGGTGCCGTCACATACATATGATTTCAATTCAGCATGTTCATTGTTTGGAAGATATCTACAGACTTTATTCTTCTCTTAATATTTGTCTTTCAGCATGTCCTTACGTTGCAGATTAATCACTTCCAATTAAAGGTTAAGGTGCAAGTTAAATGGATTTTGTAATATGGTAATTTCCTTTGCATTTGCATCAAAGTCTCAGAAGGCTGCTGAAAAGGAGCTCAAAAACTATATTTACTGCCAATCAAGTGACATCACTTCTTTACCTTCACTTCTGACGGCACGGAAAGCTACATAAAACAGCTTAATATTACTTGTGATTTAAACAACACTAGTTGGGATCGAAATAACTTTTAGTTTTGCATATAACCACTGTTTTGCTTATAATTTTAGGTTGAGAACATTAAGAAACATTATCAAGTCTGAAGCAAAAACTGATTTCCAAAGCCATTCAGTGTTCAATAACAGTGGTTGAGAGCAGTTCCTCTCATTCAGAAAAACCTCAATTCAGCCCTAAGCTCAAAAAACTAAATTATTACTTTACCACTACTAAGCCACTGAACTGCAGTGTGGTAGGGCAAGTCAGGATATTCAGCATCTATTTCTGACAAAAATTCATGGAGTTGACAAAGACTAAATCCATAAGAGCAACATTCTTGAGTCTTGAGATGCTACTAGTTCTATATTGCGTGGTATATTCAAATATTCTCTGCAAAATACCTGCTGATAAATAAAACAATTAAAAAAAACTATAGATTTTTAACCACTTTACAATTTCAGTTTTGTAAATTTGTTCACCTAAGCTTTTTTCTGCTCTACATGTATTTTTGTCACCATCAGTTGTAATCATCTTAGCAGATTCCACCTCCGGTCATACATACACATTTTGTTTTTTTTGAGTTTTTTGTAAATATTTTTGATTGTAGTTATTCCATGAACAGTTTTTCAAACTAATTCTTCAAAAACTTCAAACTTAGGATTGATTTCTTGAATAACAACAATTGAGCTATACTGGTAACCTCTGTCAATCCACAAAAGCCAAGGAAAACCACCCAAAATCATTTGCTTTGTTTTTTAATTGATTATTAATGTTCTCAACTCTTCCAGCAACTGTTCTTGCCAAAAGGCTAATAGCTTTAAACAAGTTTATTTTCTCCAGACACATTTCTTTGGCTACTACAATCAAACACAATTTAGTTAAGGCACCATCAGTAAACAACTTCCTTACTTGGCTAACAAATGAGACAGAAACTTAACCTCGGTGAGTCTGATTTTCATTGTTAATAAATTTTGTGAAGAAATTCTGCTATGATAAGATATTCCTTTTTAAATGTTCTAATTCTTCTGACGATTATTTTCCTGTGAGTTGGGAATACTGTGATGAGTGATTAGTCTGGTAATATCGGTGTATACTGTATTTCTTTAGCACAGCTATGGTATCACTGCATAATAATCAATGCTCTGTCATCTAATTTGATAATCCATTATCTAAGGTACTTTAGAAGTATAATATGTCAAGTCGATTTTTCTCATCTTTTCTTGTTTCAACATGATGGGTATGTGCTGATGATAAAGTAAAATGTCACAGTACAGTGATATGCAAGTTACTTAAAAAAGTGATTATAGTGCACCAAGCAGCAGTGCAAAACATTGAGAATGTCACAAAATCTCCATCCTAACTACTCAAACTCACAAAAGTAGGCATAAATAATATGTAAACAAATGAGTGTGGCTGTGTTCCAATAAACCTTTATTTATGGACACTGATAACTGAATTTCAC